GGCCCGCCTTCAGGTACAAGCTCTCCCTCCTCTGTGAGGACAGATCTGCATGTCCCCCCCCCCATAGCTAGCAATCCAAAACAGTCCAGTGGCGCCTGAGCGGTGGGTGTTGCCTTCTGACACACTTCCGGTGATGTTAGAGGGTTTGGCATATGCTAATGAGTTCTGCTAATGAGTTCTGCTAATGAGCTCCTGCACCTCTTTTTCTACGAAATGACCCCTGGTTAAAAGATATACAAGGTCCTGTTCGGATGAAGACTGCGAAACGTCTTTGTAATCCGGAAAGCTTCGTTAACCGAATCGTTCTGGACCTCTTCTTGTACATGTCATATGATTTTGGTTCTTTATTGTAATTTTGTGATATATTTGCAATTATTGACTTTGGTATTGTTATCTGTCGAATATACATACACACAGCTTTTATTGCTCTCTTCTGTACTGCTTCAGGAGCTGTGGTTCTCTCTTTTCGTATCACCTTTGGATTTCTGACCCAGTCACAAGAAGAAGAAGAAGAGATTGGATTTATACCCCGCCCTTCACTACCCAAAGGTGTCTCCGAGCGGCTTACAAACTCCTTTCCCTTCCCCTCCCCACAACAGACACCCTGTGAGGCAGGTGGGGCTGAGAGAGCTCTGACAGAAACTGCTCTTTTTCAAGGACAGCTCTTATCAGAACTACGGCTTGCCCAAGGTCATCCAGCCAGGTGCAAGTGGAGGAGTGGGAAATCAAACCCGGCTCTCCCAGATTAGAGTCCGCGCACTTAACCACTACACCAAACTGGCTCTCAAAGCGGCTGCTGTAGGAGGTGGAGACCTGTCAGGATCCTGATTAAATCAGTTCTCAACACCAGTCACTTTGAGGACAGCTAACTTTATTGAGACATTGATAGATACCATACTGGACACAAGCTATTGTTAGGACCCAAGTTGAGGTTACAGATATAGAGTGTTCAAGTAAAGGCACTAAAGATCAGGACCCAGTCACCCCATGGCATTTGCCCGCCAGAATTAACAGTCACCTACTACCCCACACACACACTAAGCACGCACCTCTCCCAAAGCACCCCTCCCGCCAGAACTAACAGTCGCCTACCCTCCCTCAGACACGTAGCCGCTACATAGCAAAAAAACCCAGAATAACAGACATTTGAGAAGCCAGGGCATTTGGCCCCACCAAGGTGACAAGCCCCGGGCACATCAAAGAGAGAGGAACCTCCTCTCTCAGTGGCAGGCGAGCAGTAAAATGCACAGGGAGCCTGGCAGGACCCCACACGGCACCGAGGAAGCCCGAGGGCAGGGCAAAAGAGTACCAGGGTAATTTTTAAAGAACACTGGGAAAGAGGAGAGAGAGAGGGAGACTGTGACAGCTGACACCGAAACACAATTATTTTAATCTCGCTATCAAATCTCCGGTGGCCAATCAGAAGCCTGGATGGCCAAGAGCCTCACGTTGCCCCTCCCTCTTTCTAAAAACAGCTGGTGGGCCCCCGAAAAGATGTTTTTTGAGCCCCAGGTTTTATGACTATTAGAAGGTTTTGAGAGACGCTGTGACCTTATGCTGGTTTTTGGCCGTAACAAGCATTGACTGGCTCGCTGTTCAGGAGTCCCGTGGTGCCCAAGGGCAGCAGGTTGGGGACGCCCTGCGGCAGAGGCTGTTGGCCAGAAGAGCATGAATAGTTCACATCCGGGGCAAGGGCCGAAGGGGGACTCCAGTGCACCATCTCCGTTCCCGTCTCCCAGTACCCGGAAGGTCCGTGTGGTCTCCCTGCCTCTGCAAGCTCGATATGGTGGGGCCGGACTACTGGGGGAAGCAGAGGAGAAGCATGGCAGAGCCATCTGGGGTGGAGGTGGCAAAAGTGCCGTCCTCCATCATGGCTCTCTAGCAGAGGGGTGTCATGTGTTCTTGATTGGAACCTCCTCATTTGCCTGCCTACACTTCCCAGAAGCGCTAGGGAAAAAGAGCAGGGAAATTTGGACACACCCCAGGGGCAGAGCCAGGGAGATAAAGGCTTTGGCTCCTGAGGGCGGGGTTCAGTCTTCAGCCTTTGGACGGCAGCCTCAAGGGAGCGGACAGGTGGGGGCTCCTGTTGCCACAGACTCCAGGGCAGCCGGGCAGCCAGGAGGGCAACAGTACCGGTGACCAGTCCGGAGAAGGGCTGGGGGTTTCTCCACAACAACGGGGGGGGGAGCAAAACCTATCCCGAGGTCCACAGACTCCAGAGATAGAGAGGGTGTGTGTAGGGGACAATGTTCCCTCTAAGCTGTGGAGTCTTGTGAGCAAAAATTCCACTTTGTGAGCTACTGGCATTAAATTTGTGAGTGAGCCATTTGGCTCCTACATAAATTGGTTTGCTCTGGAGCCATCCTTCCTGAGCTCAGACAAAAATGTGTGAGCTGGAGGCCAAAAAACTGTGAGCTAGCTCACACTAACTCAGCTTAGAGGGAACACTGGTAGGGGACAGAGGAATGGCGTTTTAAATCCTGTTTATTTTCTGTGCCCAGGTTGTGTTGATGTGCATGTGTTTAGGTTCTGTGCCTAATATGTATATAGTTCAAACAAACCTTTTTTGAGTTAAATAAGACCTGGTGTGCCTTGACCACCTAGTCCTCCCCGCGTGGCGCATTACCAGAAGCAAAAGGGAGACCAGGAAACCCAAACAGGCCCAAATCAGAGGAGTTGCCAACTCTCCAGGGGGTGCCCAAAGATTGTGGTACCAATTTCCCAAGGTTGGGGAATCAGCCAGAGGGATCTAGGAAGGCGGTGTCTATTCAGTGGGTGGTGGCAGTGTGTAATGAAGGGAGATAGCCTCACCAGGCAGGGTGGGAAGGCAAAAACAGGGTCTTGCAAGCCACAGAACGGCTGCTCAGTCTCCCAGGGCTGAGGGCGGGTCCCCGTTTTGCCACAGAGGGTTCGCACTCAGGCCTGCTTCAGAGAGCCAGTGGAGCATACGCATGAGTGGTGAACCACGTCTGTTCTTGGGAAGGCATCCTAATTTTCGCAATCTGAGTCTCATTCTCATCAAGGGCGTTATGGCAAGGAGCCGCTTCTAATGCAAACAGTTGTATTCACTTGCAAATCTTGCATGTGCTTCACAAGGCCGGTAAAAATAATCCGCTTGATCGGAAGACACAGTGGAGGAAATCATCTTCAGGCGGGCCGTCTCGAAGCTGCAGCTCACCAGCATCGTCATCGAAGGGGGTCAGTTTGCACTCGGAGCCCAGAAGTCGCAGGGGGCAGCTGAGGAGCAGGTAACCGGGAGCTCAGGCGGGTGCTTTGGACTGCGGTGCCCTCACCCCGCTCTGCTGCGTGGAAGCCGGGGGGGGGGGCAGTGGAAAACCTTTGGCCAGCTCGAGCGCTTTCCTTTGTTTCTGCTGTAGCCTGGCCCTTGGCAAGTGACAGGCCTCAGAGAAACAAGTGCAATGGATGGAGCCAAGCAGGCCCATAGCCACCGGGGGGGGCAAGCCCCCCTACAGATGAGTGCCGCCCCCTCAGACCAAAAAAAATCAGTGAAATATTTGAAAAATTTAAGATGGATGTGGGGTTTCCAGAATGACCCCCGGACACGGTCAGGGAGGCTTCGGTCTCGTTGTCTTCCCCCCCCCCCGGGCAGGAAAATACATAGGTTTTTAGAAATGCGAAATAAAATAAAACTGCAAAAAATAAAATAAAATGGCAAAATGCAAAAGAGAGAGCGTTGGAGACTCCCTCCCCCCCCAGCTTACACAGAAAAGCACTCCAGAATTGAGTTTCTGTCACCCCTGTCCTATGTGAACATGTCACACCGATGGCGCCAGAGCATAAATTGGGTTTGGCTGGTTGGACCTTAGTTCCTTTGTCTGTTTCTTCTTATTTATTTTTTTATTTATTTATTCGATTTGATATACCGCCCTAAGCCCCTTGGGGGTCTCTGGGCGGTTTACATAGGGGAGTGCTAATCACATTTGTATATCCTAACTACGGCCACATTATTCTGAAGGGGGTGATACGTCTAGAGCAGGGGTCCCCAACCTTTTTGAGCCTGTGGGCAGGGCTTTGAGTTAAAAGCCCAGCAGGAACTAATTAGCATAATAGGCCACACCCAACAGCTGAAACTCATTAGCATATCAGGCCACACCCTGACATCACAGCTCATTAGCATATTAGGCCGCAGCCCCGTGTTGCCAGAAGTGTGGTCATCCAGCCACACCCACCTTTTGCTTCTTATTCTGTTTACCTTGTTTGTTGTCAAAACCCAGGGCCTTTTTTGTAGCAGGAACTCCTTTGCATGTTAGGCCACACATGCCTACTGTAGCCAATCCTAATGAGTTTCTGCTGTTGGGTGTGGCCTGTTATGCTAATGAGTTCCTGCTGGGTGTGGCCTACTCAGGAGCCAGCCGGAACTCTGTTCCTGTGCGTTCCTGCCCAAAAATAGCCCTGCCTGTGGGTACCACTGGAATACTGGCACAGCCTGGTGGGCGCAGCCAGAAAATGACTGCCACAGGAGGCAGAGCCAGCCACAATCAATATCTGTTTTTACCCCTTTTATTTTATTTTTGGCAGTCTCCGTTTAATGTTAATAAAAAGCAAATTTGCATGTTTTCCAATAAATACATGTGGGTTATATTTGTTCATGTCTTGGGGCTCTCAAACATCTGACTTTTATTCTGTATGGCTCTTACGTCAAGCAAGTTTGGCCACCCCTGCCCTACTTGGTCCTTCCCACTTTCTAAAAACACTCCGCGAGCACCAAGAAAGGCGTTGGTGAGCGTCACGTTGGGGACCCCGGGTCTAGACGCACCTCATTCCAGCAGCACTGCGATACGTGACGGCGAAGCCTTTAACCTTCATCCTTTTTTCCCTTTTTTGTTTAAGCTGAGTGAAATTCTAAAATTTGGTTTGGACCGACTGTTGTCCTTGGATGGAAGCCCCCTCTGCGATGTGGACCTGGGATGTGTTCTCGGGGAAACACGAGGAGGAGAATGGGTGATGGATCGTGTGCCACCACCCACAGAAGGAAAGGAAGACCAAGAATCAGAAAGTATGTTGCTGATCTCTGAATTGAGATTGCTCTTAATTCCTTGGCTCTTCCTCAGCACTGTCTATCTTAATTAACTTCTGCAACCACCCTGTGCCCCCCAGAGGAGAGGCCCCCACCCCATTCCATGAAGGTCTTCGTAATGATTCCATTTTTAGTGTGTGTGTTTCTTTAAATGTTTAGTGTGACTGCAGTAATGTAAGGAGAGTGATAGAGGGCGACAAGTGTGATGTGATTGGCGGATGACTGAGAGTGTGGGAGGAGAGATACCTATGAGGTGATTCTGTGTTCCTGAAGAGATGAATGTGGAGAGGGTTCTTTTGGTGTGAGTCTGTGTGACAGGGGAATCAGTTGGAGCTTAGTTTAGCCTGCGTGGCTTTGAGGGAGAGAGTTCAGCCTGTGTGGCTATATATATGAGAGAGATATAAACCTGTCAGAGTTGAGACTGTGTGTGACGCCAAGCCTTGTCAGTTATATTTTCTTTCTTCAACAACAGTTCAAAAATACCCAGAAACCTATTTTGTTCTTTAATAAATAAATCATTATTTGTTTAAACATCCCAGCAATCAGAACAGTCCTTCCTCAAGGCCACATTGTCCTCTGAACTTGAGGAACTGTATTAAAGGGTCACGGCATTAGGGAGGTTGAGAACCACTGGCCTAGAGCAAGGAAACTTAACTCCATGGCTCACCTGTGGCTTTTCTGAGCCCTGTTCCCTGTGGCACCCTGTTCCAGGAAAGTGGGCAGTTCCTTTACAAATTAGAGTGATTTCATCATTTCCGTGGCCCCAAGATAAAACTGTTCCATTTTTAAAATGCAAGTCGTATGCTAGAACAGCACTTCCTGTAAACACGACCCGAAGACTGTTGTTCAGGAATTGTCAGATACATTTTCTATTTGTTTGTTTGTTTATTTTAATTTCTCCCCCGCCCTCCCCGCCATAGCAGGCTCAGGGCAGCTTAGTTTGGTGTAGTGGTTAAGTGCGCAGACTCTAATCTGGGAGAACGGGGTTTGATTCCCCACTCCTCCTCCACTTGCACCTGGCTGGATGGCCTTGGGTAAGCCGTGGTTCTGATCAGAGCTGTTCTTGAAAAAAGGGCAGTTTCTCTCAGAACTCTCTCAACCCCACCTACCTCACAGGGTGTCTGTTGTGGGGAGGGGAAGGGAAAGGAGTTTGTCAGCCGCTCTGAGACTCCTTTGGGTAGTGAAGGGTGGGGTAGAAATCCAATCTCTTCTTCTTCTTCTTCTCTGCTCACTGCTCACTTCCCTCTGTTGAAAGGGCTACTGGACAGGAGGGCAATTAAGTGAGATGAATAGGAAAAAATAAAAATAAATCTCACTTGATGTTGCATCTGATATCTTCAGTGGTTTTGTCGAAAGTGCATCCAACAAAAAGCTTTGTTTAAAAAAAAAAAATCTCGCTCAGGTCCCGACCCACATTTTGTGAGGCTCGTCAGTGGGCAACAGGCCACTGAGGAGTGACTCAAGGCGGGATGAAGCCAAGAGTCAGACCCTTTCTGCTGTGAAGACTGCTGGCTGAAACGGGGGCCAGTCACCCTCTCAGCCTGGCCCACCTTGCAGGGTTGTCAAGGGCAAAATTGTGGGAGAAGAGGAAGATTACTGATGGTGCCCAAAATTCTTTAGAGCAGGGGTCCCTACCCAGTCTTTTCTAGCCTGCAGTCACATTTGGAATGGTGACACCGCTTGGTGAGCGTGGTGACAAAATGTCTGCCGGAGGAAGCAGAACCAGCCACAAAATGGCTGCCGCAGCTTCCCTTCGGTCACACGGTGAAGATCCTTGTGCTGTGGTGGCAGCTGCTGGCAAAGCAGCGTTTTTAAAAAATTGCACAGCCCATCAAATCTCCAAGGGGGCCCGCCTGGCCCTGCCCACTGGCATTAGGAAGGGTGTTGGTGGGTGCCCATGGGTACCACATTTGGGACCCCACCTAGGAGGGTGGGCAGGATAAAATTTAAATATAGCCTGTCAGAAAGCTGTGGCTGTTGCGTCTACCCTGTACCGTGCCGTAGTAATAACGGCAATTCCTTTTGTTGCCTCTTCTTTATGAGAATCCGGTGTGATCTCAGGGGCTCATTTTGAGTTCTTTTATCTTTTAAGGCCACATGTACCTGTACGAAGGCAAAGACTACTCCAAGGACCCCAGCCGAGAAGATCAGAAGGCCTTTGAGCAGTTGCTCGATCTCCAGAAAACTCTGCTCGAAGAAGAAGGGAGAGCTCTCCGAAACAAAGCGAACGTAAGGATTGGGATAAAATGCTGTGTTTCAACCTGTTGGCTTTGAATGGGTTTGGGGAACCGGTATACAAGCAGGTTTGGTCAATTCTTCAATTGGAGAAAAAAAATATTCCTATTGAGAGGCTCTTTCTCCAGCCAGAATACATGATGCGAGTTAAGGGAATGGCGTGTGAAATGCGCCGTCTTCGTTTGACATCAGGGAGAGGACTTGTAAACACTCCCAACACCCCTAGGGGGTGCAGTGGCTACATTGAGGCACATGGGCGATGGAGGTGGGAAAGGGGGGGGGTGCTTTCCTGGCTAGCGGCATCCAGGTTCTGATCCATTTCAAAAATCCCCGGGAGTCTAAATACCAGGACACCTCTTGAGAAACTGGAACCTCACAGCAGCATACGCAGAACTGCTACTCCCCCAGGGCTTCTCGGTCAAAGAGTACAAACGCCTAAGCAGCCATAAGTCTCTCATTGGGGAAATAAGCCCTGGTGTGCATCGTGGCTCTTTCTTCATGTGCCTGGGAGATGAATCCACGTCCCTTTAAAGCCAAAGAGCCTTGACTGAGCCAGCATAATCTTGTGGACCTGGTTGGAGTGGCTTTAGCTTGAAAGCGGCTGCTTCAGTTCGTGGACTGGGGGGGTGTCAAGGTGAGGATCCATTACCTAGCGGGACAGTCTTCATCCCGTCCAGACCAAACACCTGTCTTTTAACCCCAAGTGGCACCATGAGGACCCAATGGGCTGCCAGCATCTGGCAGGAAGTGGCGTGACATCATAGCCGTGCGAGGGGAAGAGAAGGAGGCAGACTGTATGAACTTGCCTGTACGGAAGGGGAATTCTCGGTACTGTCATAGAATCACAGAGTTGGAAGGGACCTCCAGGGTCATCTAGTCCAACCCCCTGCACAAGGCAGGGACTTCACAACTGCCTCCCCCCACAGCTCCAAGTGACCCCTGTGCCCCAGAAGATGGCAAAAAAAAAAACCCCACACAACCCTCCAGGATCCCTCAGCAAACTGGCCTGAAAATTGCTTCTTGATCCTAAAGTGGTGGTCGGCGTTTCCCTGGGCCTCGCCTGACTTGCTGATCCTCCTAACGTCCCTGCCTCGAGAGGCAGGAGGCAAGGCGCCCTTGCCGCTCATAACACACACACTGGCAGCAGGTCCTTCCAAAAGGCAGCAAAAAACTGGCAGGGATGGAGGTGTTCTCTGACCTAGAAGAGGAGAAGAAGAAGAGATTGGGTTTATACCCCCCCCCCTTCACTCAGAGTCTCAGAGCAGCTTACAATCTCCATTTCCCTTCCCCTCCCCACAACAGACACCCTACCCTGTGAGGTAGGCGGGGCTGAGAGAGCTCTTGACAGAAACTGCTCTTTTTTTAAAAGAACAGCTCTTATCAGAACTACGGCTTGCCCAAGGTCATCCAGCCAGGTGCAAGTGGAGGAGTGGGGAATCGAACCCAGTTCTCCCAGATTAGAGTCCACACACTTAACCACTACACCAAACTGGCTTTCAGTTTCCAGCCTGGGAACTAAGTTCACAGAGAGAGAAGAGGAGATTGGATTTATACCCCGCCCTTCACTACCCAGAGGAGTCTCAGAGTGGCTCACAAACTCCATTCCCTTCCCCTCCCCACAACAGACACCCTGTGAGGTCGGTGGGGCTGAGAGAGCTCTGAGAGAACTGCCCTTGAGAGAACAGCTCTGACAGAACTGTGGCTTGCCCAAGGTCATCCAGCAGCTGCAAGTGGAGGAGTGGGGAATCAAACCCGGTCCTCCCAGATGAGAGTCCGCACACTTAACCACGACACCAAACTGGCTCTACAGGCTGAAGACTGCTGATCTAGGGGGCTCATGATTCCAGTTTGTACCCCAGGAGTCTCCAGCCTTTTTTAAGCCTGCGGGCACCGTTGGGATTCCCACCCAGGGTGGTGGGCACAGCCGCAAAATGGCTGCCACGCGATACAGAGCCAGCTACAAAATGGCTGCCACAGGAGGCAGCACCAGCCACACTGTGTTGGGGAGTGAGGTCACATATAACTTCAACAGATTTCTAATAGCCAATCAGAAGCCCTGCTGGGCAGAAGTCCCAACTGGCCCCGCCCATTTTCTAAAAACTATCGGTGCCAGGAAAAGTGTTGGTGTGTGCTATATGGCACACTGGGGACCACCACGGCTGTACACAGTCGTCTAAAGTCTTTCTCCCTCAGCAGCCAGATGGCCTGTTGTTGAAGGCTTTTTCGTAGAATCTGTGGGAAGCTGACTGAAGGGAGAGGGGGGAGAGTTGGTGCTGGATGAAGAGGGACAGGAGAGCTGCAGGAGATGGGAAACGATGCTGTAACCAGTGTGATGCAGTGACAAAAAAGGCTAAGGCGATCTTGGGGCATATCAACAGAAGCATAACATCCAAATCACAAGATGTCAGAGTCCCGCTGTGTATTTCTAGGCCTGGGCTGTCAAACATGCAGCATGGGGGCCGGTTTAGGCCCCTGGAGGGCTTCTATCAGGCCCACAGTGGAACTGGCTGTCTCCTGCTTCTTCCAGTTCTGCTGCTGCTGCTGCGTCATTGTAGCATGCTTTGCCAGACTCTCTCAAAACACTCAGGAGAGACAGATAGGCAAGCTTCTGTTCCCTGCACTGGCTAAGGCTCCCTCCCTCCCCCTTCCCCCTCCAGGAGAGGGAGGGATGAAGCCAGAGCTTACTTCCTGGCCAGGCTACCTCAATCACACAGGAGAGAAAGGGAAGCCTTTCTTCCCTTCCATTGGCTGAGGCTCCTCCCTGGAGGGAAGGAGGGAAAGCTTGCTTTGCTTGGCTGCCTCAATTGCATGGGAGAAATACAAAGCACTTTAAAGACCAACAAAGTTTTATCCAAGGCATGAGCTTTTGTGTGCCTTGCTACAGCGTGTGTGTTTTGTTGGGTTTGTTATGCTGTGGCTCTCCTGGGTGCAACTGGGTTCCCTCCCTATTTTCACTGTATTCATGCCCTCACGATCCAGTCTTGGTCGGTAGGAAAGCAATGTGAATTATTTAGATGAGGAATAACAAAAAGCCAGTGAGGTGGACCAAGTTCACCCAGCACATTTCCTTTGGGGATTTTGAACTTAGACTTCCCAGATAGTAGGCTGATACTGACCACTGAGGAAGACTATAGTTTTGTAGACTAACACATAGCCCTCAATCTGTGTCGTGGTGCCTTCTCATGTTCTTGACCAGCACATGAGGCAATTTATGTACAAAAGCTTGCAATGCACGGCCATTTCATGTTTTCCGTTGGACCCTAGGCTCAGAACTCTGAGCATGAGATTTCTGTACTGAATGTCAATAAATCAAAAGTAGGTTTGCAGCTTACAGATACACACTTGAACAGTATACTCAAGATTGCAACAGCACAGACATTTTGATGCAGTAATTCAGAGCGAGAGGTGTCAGCTATTGGACACTGTTAAACAGAATATTGCAAGAGTGCTAATGTTTTAAGCATGTTTTTATAAGTAAAAAAAACCCTATGTGTTTGTGTCCTTTATAAAGTTTATATCTCCACTCCTGGCATTACATTTTATCACACGCATGGCCCATCCCAACAAGGTTTCATTTATGTCAGATCTGGCCCTCATAATAAATGAATTCGACACCCCAGCTCTAGGCTGATCCTGCATCAAGCAGGGGGTTGGGCTAGATGGCTCGTAGGGCCCCTTCTGACTCTGTGATTCAGTGATTCACAGAATTCCTTTCCCTTGCTAGATTCTCGTCACTGGCATTCCAGCAGGACCCAGTAAGAAAAACCGTAAGCTGGATCCAGAAGAGCTGGAAGCTCGGCGTCAAAAACTCCAGGAGGCGGCAGCAAAGAAGGCCCAGCTGAAGGAAGAAAGGAGGCGGAAGAAGGCGGAAGCTGAGCACCAGAAGAAGTACGTCCCAAGGGCTCCCCCGTTCAGTCGTGTAGCGGCACAAACGGCGGGGGCACCTCTTCCAGTCTGGGGTGGTCAGAATTGAGCTGTCTGTTTCCTCGTGACTTGGAAGGGCTCTACGAAACATGGTGCCCAAAGTGGAACCGTTTTCCAAAACGTTTCAGAAAACTGTTCAGGGTACCAAGTAGCAACCAAAAATGCTTTCAAAAGTTGTTTTGAAAAACGTTCCCCCTGGTGCTTAAGCAGAAACTCTCGTGTGAGGGGGAAATTCACTTCGCTAGCGTCGTAGATGATCGTGCTGTTTTCGCAAACAGTGTGAAAAATACAGAGAAATCGGATGGATCACTAGAGAATTAAACGGGGGTGCCCTTGAACTCATTTACTGGATAAATTCTTATTCAGATCCAAGGTGGCCTCTGACCTCTCTCAAGGTGAAGTTCAAGTCTAAAGTCGGTCATTCACCCCTCAGGTCCATCCCTTTGCTCTGGTATACTTTTTTTCCCCTCCAGCTATTTCTGTTGGTGTTTGAAACTATTTTGTGTCTTTACATTTCCTGCCATGTTCTCCTTCCTTGCATTTCATTTTTTGAAACTTGGAAAACGAGATTCTTTCAGACTTATTTCTTGTTGCTTCAGATGTGACTAAAACTCTTACTCTTTAGGGCAAACAGTTTTTTGAGGTAGATCAAGATGGGTGGCCGTGTTAGTCTGTCTGTAGCAGTAGAAAAGAGCAAGAGTCCAGTAGCACCTTAAAGACTAACAAAATATGTGACGGGGGAGGAGCTTTAGTGAGTCACCACTCGCTTCTTCAGAGACATCTGTCCTAATTGTTGGAAAGTGGAGTGATTTCAGATGCCGAACGACATTAGCAGGCCAATGACAATAGCAGGTGTGATTGCATTAGGTGTAATATGCAGAGAGGCATGGAGAAATCAGCATTGGTAATGAGACAGGAAACCTAGGTCTCAGTTCAGTCCAGGTGGATGCATTGACTTGAGCTTCATTATCAGTTGCAATTCAGGAGTCTCTCTAATCTCATTTTATTAATCCCAAAAGTCATTTCTCAAAGGTTTGTATTTGTCATTTTTCCTCCTCTTTTTGTTGCAAAACGATGGAAATAACATCTACCGAAGGCAGTCAGTTGACTGTGATGTGTACTAGTATTTGGGCGTATTTGAATCTTACTGGTGAATGTCAACATAGGCCACATTTCTGACGGTCACCGTAACTCATTGTGCATCGCTCAAGCGAAATTGGGGTCTGTTCCGCAACCGCTGAATGAATGTCTGGTGCCCTCCTGCAGGATGGCCTGGTGGGAAGCCAGCCAGTACAGATCCAGTTGCCTTGAATCAGAGGAGAGCAGTGAGGAGGAAGAGGAGGGGCAGAGGCCGGCGGTGGATGTGGACTATGCAGACCCAGAGCTGAGCGACATCCAGTACGTCTTGGGCGATGTCACCCACCCCCGGGCAGGAGAAGAGGACGCCATCATTGTGCACTGTGTGGGTAGGTGGGGAAGGGGGCAGGCTCTGCTGGAGCAGGCCAGGGTGTTGCGTGGAGGACCGGATGGACGTCTTGAGCTGGGGCAGGAAATGGGAGTTCATGACAGTCTCTGGCCCCACTGATGGCCCCTAGTCTTTTTGGCCACTGTGTGACCCAGAGTGTTGGACTGGATGGGCCGTTGGCGTCATTCCACATTGGCTTCTCTTATGTTCTTATATTCTCTCTTCTGAGGAACAGGGCCGAAATGTGCAGAAGGCCCATTTGAAATATTTTGTCGCCCCCCTAAGTCACGCCTTGCGCCCGTGCTGCGTCTGGCTGGAACCATGCCAAGGCTCTGCCACGGTGCAGCCTTGTGGGCTCAGCCCTGGCTAGTGGCGCTGGTTTCCTGTTGTTTTGCGAGGAGCGAGATGAGTTCCTGGGGTGCGTCCCTGCGCCGTTCTGCAACGTGTGGCCAAAGGAAGACGGCTCCTACTGAATCAGGCCCTTGGGTTGCTCTCGAGGTCAGTGCTGCCGACTCAGACAGACAGCAGCTTTCCCGCGTCCCAGTTCCAGGTCTTCCCCATCACCTCCTGCCCGATCCTTTTAACTGCAGGTGCCAGGGGTGAGCCTCCTGCTTGCCAAGCAGATGCCCTGCCCCTGAGTGAAAGCTCAGGCCGCTGGGCCAGAGAACCATCCCTGAGGCAGCACTCCCTGTATCCCCTCTCTTGTCGTAGTAGCACACTGTTGCTAGGCTGTCCGGACACTTCGGCAGGTAGCAGTTGAAATGGACACACAAAAATGCCCTTCCAGGTTGTAGATGGTGATTTCTCAAGTCCAGATGACCATCCACTACGAATACGCGTCACTTCCGAGGCCGTTCGTCGTGGTCGCTGGCAGCGCGAGACTGTTGGTGCTGGAGACATTGTGTCGTGATAGTCCTCGATAGTCCTTGGAAAGCACTGAGACACATGCTCCTAAGTCGTCCGGAGCCTTGCAGCAAGAGATTCAGAGTCACATCGGCATGCAACCCTTCCAAGTTTGCACCCTTGTGCCTCACAGGCACAAGGGTGCAAACTTGGAAGGGTTGCATGCCGATGTGACTCTGAATCTCTTGCTGCAAGGCACCGGACGACTTAGGAGCATGTGTCTTAGTGCTTTCCAAGGACTATCGAGGACTATCACGACACAATGTCTCCAGCACCAACAGTCTCGCGCTGCCAGCGACCACGACGAACGGCCTCGGAAGCGACGCGTATTCATAGTGGATGGTCACCTGGACCTGAGAAATCACCGAAGGGCATTTTTGTGTGTCCATTTCAACTGCTACCCGCCGAAGTGTCTGGACAGCCTAGCAACAGTGAGCTACTACGACAAGAGAGGAGTTACAGGGAGTGCTGCCTCAGGGATGGTTCTCTGGCCCAGCGGCCTGAGCTTTGACTCAGGGGCAGGGCATCTGCTTGGCAAGCAGGAGGCTCACCCCTGGCACCTGCAGTTAAAAGGATCGGGCAGGAGGTGATGGGGAAGACCTGGAACTGGGACGCGGGAAAGCTGCTGTCTGTCTGAGTCGGCAACACTGACCTCGAGAGCAACCCAAGGGCCTGATTCAGTAGGAGCCGTCTTCCTTTGGCCACACGTTGCAGAACGGCGCAGGG